TAGACGAACCATAGAGACAGATCCCCCGTGAAGACCTCGATGGCCATCGCCACAAGACCATGAGAACCAGACGAGTCCTCTGCTCAATCTGGAATTAAACCACACCATTCTGGTTTTGTCTGGCCAGAGGAGAACAACCCCCCCCCCCCCCGGCTAAGCCTGGTTTCTCCAAAGGTTTTTTCTCCATTTCTGTCACTGATGGAGTTTTGGTTCCTTGCCACTGTCGCCTTTGGCTTGCGTAGTTGGGGACACAATTTCTGGCAATACTGTTGGCTTGACTGCAAAAAAACTATTGGAAGAGAACTGAACTGAGGTGGACGAGGACATCTCTGAATCAACAATGAACTGACTTTAACTGATAAACGGACTGTTTTCTATTGTCCTTTTGCATTATCAGCACACGTTTTTTTCCTGTTCAACACTGTACAGCTGCTTTGACAATCTGTATTGTATAAAGCGCTATATAAATAAAAGTGACTTGACTAAATCATTGCTAATTTTATTTGCAATGCTTTATGGCAAGAGTAGCTCATTCACTCTTTTACAGGATATGAAATCTTTTTGCTTTTTTCAGGTTTCTTTTTTTTTTGTTTTGCTTTGAATCAAATGTCAAATGCTAAGATTTATTTTGGAGCTGGTTGGTGTGGTTCAAGGCTTAAAATTCTTTATGAAACTTTGAGAAAATCAATGGGGAATGGACTTGCTGAAGAGTTTGCTGGTAAAGTGGACAGTGCAATGAAATCACTTATCTATTAATCCCACAATTCTAATTATACTGAATTTCATATTTTGTGTTTTCAGGGTAATTTTAGTGAACTGTTTTTGTCATTTTGTCGTGTGTTTTTGTAATTTTTAAATATGTCTATCTATAAATGTTTTTATATTTTAATTTTATTTATTGTTATGTTAACGTATCAAGTTAAACTAAATGAGAAATGTTTCCTTGTCAACTAGCTGAAATAAAGTTTTAAGTTTTCATTTTCGTTAACTATAATAACCCTGATCTGATATCAAAATGTCTATTAAAATGTTTTATAAAGTGAAAAAATGCCCATATCCAGGGCTAACCTGAATGTATTTACTGCATAAGGACCCAGCCCTTAGCGATTGACATTTGAAAGTAAGCTAACCAAAAGGACATCAGATCCATTACCTTTTTGCTTTTTTGAGCACTCTGCTTGAAAGGGAAACAGCTCTCGATGGTAAACACAAGCGCTGGCTTTTTTCGCCTCACATCGTCTTCAGCCTTCATATCCAGCTGTGACAAATTTCCCAGCAGCCCAGATGGGTCATCTCACCGCAACAATAGCAGTTTAAGAGGCCTTTTAAATTATTCACGTCCTTCTTGAGAACGTTGCAATTTGAGGGCTATATTTGCATAGGACATTCAAAAAACATTTGATTTGGTCAGCATGCAGAAACCAGTGGAGACCAATGAGAATTGAAGTATGCTGCAGCGCTGATGACAAATATGCCAAATGAAAGCTGCATGAAACGAGACGGCAATCAACACAGATTTGAGCACTATACAATGTTTGAGCGATATTGTAACCAAGACTTGAGTCGCCTTGCATACTGTTCTTTTAATTTGGGATAAGTTCAATAATCACTGGCTCATGTATAAAGCCACTAAAGCTGTAGAAACAGAAGACATGTCAAAGACGACAATACAAATGTTCCAACTGTTTTTGGCCATACAATGAGTCAATGGAGACAAATACAGGACATTTTCATAATATCTTCTTTTTTATATTCCACAGAATAAAGAAAGTTTTAGGTTTAGAATGACGTGCGGGTAATAATAAAAGTCAACATTTTTTGGGTGAACTATCCATTTAATAGACTTGTTAAGGCACTTTTAAAAGCAACTTGTCTCAGAGCATGTTTCAAGACATCAAAACATCACATCTGATGATCTGGAAAATATATAAGTGAGCTAGTCAACTGAATATTTGAGTAGAATGTCTATCTCTAGGTAGATATTAAATTATAAAAAATGCATTGAACTGATTAAATATGCTGCTTTCAGCTGCTCCATAAAACAGCATTTTAATTCGTACAGCAAGACAGTACACACACAAAGGATTGTGGGATATCAAAGGCAGTGAAGGATATATGATATTGTATATAGGTTACCAAAGAGACAAGCTCAAGTGCATGCATTCAAGGGTTTTGGAGATGTTGCCACATCTAATTATTATTTTTTTTAAGTGTTATATATTTGTGAAAATTATATTTGTAAATATTTTTTGGAATAAATCAACATTAACACGGCAAAGGAGTATGCAATTGTATTCCAAAAATATTTATATTTATACATCATTTTTATATTGTCATTTTTTATATAATATGTATACCTAATTTCTACCACAGGATTAAATCACTCGATATGTCATGAAAATTACAATAATGTGGTTGAAATGTGCATTAAATTTCAGAAAAATAACATTTTCTCATGTTGGACATTGTTAGCAGACAAAACTTGTGTGAGAGAGGAAAAAAAAGGGTGTTTTAAGAGTTTATTTTGGGTCCCCACTGACATATGGACAAGTCCTATTGAAGTCAACATTCTTCAAAATATCTTCTTTTGTGTTCAACAGAAGAAAGAAAATCATTCAGGTTTGCAACAAACTTTCATTTTTGCCTGAACTTTTCCTTTAAAGGAACACACAGTGCTGAGGGAGCAAGTGTTTCGCATCACACACTCAAAGCACACCTTTCCTTATCAACCACTGCAACAAAATAAGCTCTTAAGAAGCTGTTCCTCCATGAACCACCTGTTTTCAATGCTTCCCACAGCTGAGGGCTACAGAATGAGTCTGTCAAGGTGAAGGAATGAGTTTCCACACGATGATTGGAGCGTATGTGTGTGTGTGTGTGCGGGTAAGGAACTGTTTCTCCCTCTTGTTAGCAGGAACAGCTGAAGTAACTTCAAAGAGGAAGTGCTGATAGGTAGTTGTAATTGTTATCAGTGGTTCTTTCTGTCTGTCGCTCCATCCTAAGACGATGATACTCAGATGGGTCTTATCTGCATCACAAAGTCTGAATTGAGTTAACTAGATAGAAATCAAGCATTCTCTGCATTCACAACAGCATGCCGCTGGAATGCTGATGACTTTTTCCCATTCCTTTCTTGTTGATTTATTTTAAGTTTTTAAAGACTAGAATATTTCCTCTTTAAGATTCTGCGGATGTTGCCAGAATGTTAAATCCTGGGAGACGTCTGCAAGGGTCACAGCGAGGGCAGCTTTACTCTCCTGTAACAAGGGATGGAAAATAAGCCGCTGTGCAGGGGAAAGGTGCAAAGTTTTAGGCTGCACTGCAAAGCAGAAGAGAGGCACACGTGGAGGAAGCCAGATCGAAAGTGTCATTGCAACAAGTACACGGTGTGAGGCTATATGAACACGGCTAATCTGATCTTTCTGGCCAGCTTCAAGTTACAAGACAATAACTTTGCTGACAGCTGCTGGATGTACAGCGGGACGCTGCAGACTCACTGAGAAGGACCTCATGTTTGAGGTTGAAGTTCAGAGCAAAGATCACAAAGACCCTCCGAGGGTTTGAATTCTCCATCACTTAATACTGATAAACTTAACAGAATACTACTGTAAACGTTGACATTGTTTAATTTTTTTTTATTTTATTCGAAATGTTTTTTAAAATGCTTGTTTTAATTTATCTCTCTGTTAAACCCTGTAAAGCTCTGACTTTTTCCCCATGAAAAATAAGAAAAATTATTGGATATTTTTATATATTAATGTGTGATTTACATTTTTCTAAGCACACCAAAACTGAGCAATACTGCATTTATCGATCAAACTATAAGTATCTAATTTCCAAATTTACAGTGACAGAGTTGAAGTGAAGTTGCACTTAAAGGTTAGTAATAATACATAAATAAATAACTACAATTTGTAAGAGTTCTTAATTTGGATTTGTGTTCAACCCTGTTATGCCCAGTTTTCTCCTTAAAATGTTAGGGAATATTATTATATGTTTATTGTGTGATTAACATTTTACAGAGCACACCAAAACTGAGCGATACTGCAGTTGCCTATCCAATAAGTACATAATTTCCAAATTTACGTGACATGGTGAACTAAAATAGCACTTCAAGGTTAGTAACAATTAAATAAATAAATAAATACTTGCTATTAGTGAGAAAATTCTTAATTTGTCTTTCTGTTCAACCGTGTTATGGAACATTATTATATTAATTATGTGATTTACATTTTACAAAGCACACCAAAACTGAGAAATACTGCAGCTATCTATCAAATTATCAGTATATCATTTCCAAATTTCCAAAAGTCAAGTACACAAAGGTTTGTAACAATAAATAAATAATTAAAAAAACAAATCTTGAATTTTGTGGCAGATGCATCGCCTAAATGTCTTTTATTAATATTTTATACAAAAATGAAATTGAAAGAGAATGAGAAGAAAAAGTTCCTCTACTGTATGTAGGTAATTCAGACTTTCGGTTTATTTTCTGTGCTTTATACGTGCTGGTTGGAATGGCTACTTTTTTGAAACCTAATAAAGAGGCTGAAAAATTATTCAAGTCACACGGGTGATTTATTTATTTTTTTGGAAGCTTTTCTTTTTAATAAAGTGTACAGAAAAATTTTTGTAACATAAACAGCAAATACTTAAAGTTTAGGACTACAATAACAGTACTAATAAAAAAAAAAAAAAGTAAATGGCAGCACATACTACAAATATACCTCCGGTCCTTGAGCTTGTGTTGACATGGATGTTAAAAAAAACCCTGCCCTTAAGACACAAAACTAGAATAGTTGGTACTTTTCAGTCCATTTTATGCATTTCTCTCTCCTGTTGTTCTCGTACTGATCCGACTGTTCCGACGGAGGACTTCTGAAAGCTCTTCTATGGCTACTTTTTTGAAACCTAATAAAGAGGCTGAAAAATGATTCAAAGGTCACACGGGTGATTTATCTATTTTTTTGGAAGCTTTTCTTTTTAATAAAGTGTACAGAAAAATTTTTGTAACATAAACAGCAAATACTTAAAGTTTAGGACTACAATAACAGTACTAATAAAAAAAAAAAAAAGTAAATGGCAGCACATACTACAAATATACCTCCGGTCCTTGAGCTTGTGTTGACATGGATGTTAAAAAAAAACCTGCCCTTAAGACACAAAACTAGAATAGTTGGTACTTTTCAGTCCATTTTATGCATTTCTCTCTCCTGTTGTTCTCGTACTGATCCGACTGTTCCGACGGAGGACTTCTGAAAGCTCTTCTAGTTGGGTTTGGTCAGGAGTTGAGTGGAGAACTCATACAGATCTTTATTGATCTTCTTCAGGGTCTTCACCTCCTCCTCCAGTTCAGACACTCGTACCTTAGTGTTCTCCCCATCACCAAACACACTCTGACAGAGAACACAAACACACTTATCACACAGCTCTTTGACAGACACAGAGTTCCCACACTGGAATCTTCATGACTTTCACATGAACTTTCCAGTTGTTCACGATTACAGGAGAAGTACTTGAATAGATTTTTTTTTTTAGTAATTGTTGGGACTGATATTAATTTGTACATGATGCAACAATCTTCAGAATTAATAGATTTAAACATATTATTGTACAAATGCCAATAACACTACTGGACAAACTGACATTAACACAGACATTAACGTGAGGTGACCTTTATATTTGTGAATGGGGCAACCACAGCTCATTATTATACAGTATAATATTGTATTATTATAATAAATAGTGAAGTATTATTTTATTTTCTGACTGAAGTGACCACAGCCCATTATTTCATATGATATATGCTATGCTATGATATGATATGCTATGATATGTATGATATGATATGATATATATATATATATATATATATATATATATATATATATATATATACACACACACACACTATCTCAAATAAAAAAATAAAATAAAATAAATACTACATCAGTAAGCTGTTGTGAAAATGAATCACTATTTTGTCTTACATATATATATAATAGTGAAGTATTATCATTATATTATTTGTGTTTGTTTTAAAGAACTTGGTGAAGAGTCTAATTGTTTTCTGATGTTATCGACAAAATGTCCCAGAAGTCGATTTTGCTTAACTTGTACTGAACCTGGAACATTCCTTTAATCTAAAAGAGCTAAATTACCATCATATATAAGCTAGAAGATGAACTGTGTAAATGAGGCGGTGAGAAAAAAAAAACCCTGCACCTGGGTCTAAGAATTCAAGTCCCATCATAGATTTTCACTGAGGTCATCAAATCCCATTTAAAACATCCCTAATCTAGCGGAGAAATTATTGACATTCCCTTTGTGCTCGATTCCCCCAGGCAGGCAAACGGCGGGTGACAGCGATGCACATTTCCCCTAGATTAATTCAGGAGGGAGGGAGGGTAAAAAAAAAAGTCTTGCTCTCCAGTTATATATCTATTTACATACATCTCCTGAATAAACACAGCAGGCTCTGAGCTCGCCGGCAGGATCTAACTCTCTTTTGAGTGGGTGAAACTAATCCACTTAATAGTCCTGCCAGAGCCGGACTCACTTTAAAAGCATTAGGAGATCCATGAGGAAGAGGGAACAACCTCTATAGTGACCAAAACACATTTGGAGACGGATAATGGCAACAAACTCCAAAACACCCGTCGGTCCCTCCAGATGGACGGGACAGCGGGGACCATCTGGCCTCACTGTACTTTCACATTTTAAAGAGGCTAAAATAATGTATTTGGACAGAGTTATGAGGTACGCAGCTTGTGCTTTGCCTGTATTTAATTCTCTGAACAACTTATGTTCAATAGGCCACAAATATACAGACCCCCCCCTTAATTAAGGAGGCCCATAAAACCAAGAATACAGCAATTTGGTCTCACAATTTCAGTAGAATGAAAATACTCTACTCTAAAGGCTTGAGCTGAAAGAAAATAAACTCTTAGGCTTTATCTGATAATCAGTTCAGCTTCAAGCCCAGTCTGATAGCGTTCTCCTCCGCTGGCTTTCAAATACACTTTCAACATCCCGTGGAGAGAGTCTGAACTCTGGGATATGAGCGGCCCAGTGGAGCTGCTCTATCAGCGGTGTAAATCAGCGGAGACTCTGACAGATGTGTGCAAGTGGCTCATTTCCTGCAGGACAAAGTGAGTGAGATGCTCTATATGAAAGATTGTAGTATTGTATCGATCACCTCTGTAAATCACAGCATGCTGCGGTCAAATATTTTGTATAATTGACTTATACAACTATAATTGATAATTCGCCTCTGGCTTGCTTAGTTGGGGACACTTCATTTCCAGCAATATCGTTGACTTGATTGCATAGAAACTATTTAAACTGAACTGAGCTGGATGATGAGATCACTGAATTCAATGATGAACTGCCTTTAACTGAAAAATGAGTGTTTACTATTGTCATTTTGCATTATTGACACACTATTTTCCTAACTAATGCTGTACAGTTGCTTTGACAAAATCTGTATTGTTAAAAGCGCTATATAAATAAAGGTGACTTGACCTGACTTGACTTGACATTCCTAACACTCTGCTGTCTGTTCTCACATTATGAATTCATTCATTCATTCCTCACTGAATGTAAGTCTATGTGATATTTGCTCATTTTATCATTCAAGCCGTAAGCTAGATCACATCAAAAATTAAGTTCAGTCTGAAAAATGCTTTGGTTGCCTTAAAGACCACATATTATTAGGGATGCACCAATTCATCGGCCAATAAAAGTAATTATCTGCACTATTGTTTAAAAACAGCCGATGCTCAGGGCTGATTAGGCTATATAATGTCAATCAAAAGGGGTGGGAAAAATGTGTCAGACTACAACTGTCGTAGAATGTTTCTTGTGTAGAATTTAGGGCTATCGAAGTTAATGCAATAAAAACACATTAACGCAATCTCCTTAAATAAAAAGTGCAGTTCTACTGGAAAGGGGTTCAAGCCAGGGTTGCCAGGTCCATGGTTTTTCCCTTCACCAAACATTATTTCTAGTGCACCTCCTGTCCAGTAATTGCAAAGAGCTTTGTGCTTTATTACAAGAGACAAAGTCTTAATGCTCTAATTCTGTCAACTTTATCACAAAATTCAAACAATAAATGCTGTTTTAACGCTCATAAATGTGGTGTGACAGATCGCTGTAGCGCTTTAGGAGCACGAGTCCTTTCCACTTTACTATTAGTTTACAGCACCAAAATAAACATGAATCAACATCAGAAGGTAATGTATGTTGAAAGAAACAGAACAACTTACTGAAATGTATCATGTCTCATATAATTACTCAATCAGTGTTTCAACCACGGAAAGACGTCAATAAAACAGCATGTGATCAATGTCACTTAACATTGCATTTACCTCAGGAAGTTATTCAGTGTTCACAGTTGTTTAGTTAGCTATAAAAAAAGCTTATTTACTGTTAATATACTGTATGTACGTTTCAATGAATCTGACATGAAGGCAAGTTTTTAACACTACCTTATGTGCAACTGAGTTGTTTGCAAACATTTCAGTTTTTATTTGATTTAATTTTCACTTTTATATTAAAGTATATTATAAAATAATATAATATAAAGAAAACATGCAGCCAGTTTGTCTGAAAACTGTGTCATCCAGCGAGCTGTATCAAATTGTAGCCGGTTTCTACATAGATAGCTAGCTATTTGAATAAGACAACCTCCGAACCATATACGGAGTCCAAGGCAGCAATTCACCTGTCTTGTGTTGACACGCCCTACAGAAGAGAGGGGCGGGGTGAGCAGTAGCTCATTATCATTTAAAGAGACATGCACCGAAACGGGTCGTTGTGAACAGAAGTAAAAAGGGTGTTGTTTTACACGACCACTGAGGAATTTTAACCTAAGTATGTTACAGACATTTCATGAAGACCCTAAAGAATCATCCCAACTTGTGGAAAATGGGCATCCAATGTCCCCTTTACGAAAACCAAACTATCAGTATTCTGAATAATTGGCTATTGGTATCGAAATTCAGAATTCAGTATGGGTGCATCCCTTATTGTACCAAATTAACAAACCTTAATTTGCTGACCATTTCATTTAAACATTTTATCACAATTCATAAAGCCATCTTATTAGCTAACAGTTATTAGCCATCGAAAAATTACAATTATGTGTTGATTACTCTGCCTGGCTGAGCAATAGTCCACACTACTCGTGACAAGGGCTCCTTCTCGGCTCTCTTCAAGCTGATCATCAGAAAAATCAAAGCCAGCAGGCTACAAACCATCTCCGCCTTGAAAGCCTTGCTAAAATTCAGTTCACAGTAATGATTGAATCCCGACAGCAGCGGTGAACTTCCCTGCTTACCTTGTCTGTGACAGCACACATCAGAGAGTAGAGCTCGTCTGCCTTCTCCAAATATGTCCCCTCCGGCTCCTGAGAGTGTGAAAAGACAAAGCGCAACACTTTAAACAACAACATAATCATATATTAAGCTACAATAATGATTGATTGTGCCAATATAAGGTGTTCGTGTGTAAGCATTTCCCGGGACACAAGTGTCCTGAAGAGGCTATGCCAACTGTGAGAGGGTCGATTACAAACAAGGTCTAATCATGGCTGTCTTCTGCAGGCTGATCACTACTGACAATGAGTAAGTGGCTGGGAGTTTGTGGAGGGGATGACGTTTTTCCAACGGTCCAACGAGATTATTAAGGCTGACAATGAAAATCTCAGCAAGGTCAATGTCTTTTTAACAGCCCTTCCCAGATCCTACCATCTTACTCTGCTGATTTACAAACCATCAGTGCCCGTCTGCGGGAAATTACTGTTCCTGCCTCGATGGATACAGTAAAGCTGCTGATTTCACAGAAAGATGAGCAAAGCAGGTGCTGCTGCCCAGCACAGTAGTTTGATTGTGTTCACAAAAACACCAACATACACTCACAAATGTGAAATATTGTACTCATGGTATATAATTTTCTTAATGTTGAGGCTTTGCTTACACTACAGTTCAAAAGAATGGGCTTTTTTTTTTTTTTGAAAGAAATACTTTTAAGCAATCAACACCATTGATCAAAAGTGACAATAAAGACATTTATAATGTTACAAAAGATTGCTGTTTCAAATAAAAGCTGTTCCTTTGAACTTTCAATCAAAAATCCTGAAAAAATGAACCATGGTTTCCACAAAAAACACTAAGTGGCACAACTGTTTTAACACTGATAATAAAAAAAATAATACAAAATAAATGTTTCCTGAGCAGCAAATCAGCATATTCAAATTATTTCTGTAGTATCATGTGACACTGAAGAAATTTCACAATATTACTGTTTTATTTAAAATCAAAGTAGCCTAGGGCACATAAGAGACTTCTTGCAAAAACATTAAAAATGCAACCAAAATCCTCAATCAAAAAAGTATTTATTTATATATGTATATATACACATGTGTGTGTGTGTGTGTGTGTGTGTTAATCACATTAAAACTTGTCTTGCTATGCTTTCAACATTTATTTTTCCTATTTAACATGAAGTATAAATTCAAGAGTGAAAAACTATTTTAATAATTATTGTGTGTTGTGTGGAAATCCCTCAACTGTACATCATTTCCACCGCAACAAAGTTTTATTAAAAGTAGGATACATAAAGTTCAATCTTTGGAATTAGCCTTAGGAGTCTGCCATTTTATTTAGAAAACATTTAAAATGTCATTTCCACAACCACTTTTTCCACCACAGAATGCTGTTGCTAAACTCCAACTTTTTCCATAACATAGAGACAGCACATGCGCATGGTTGCCAGGTTGGGAAGATCAAGTAAACCACTGGGCAAGAAAAAGGGACTGATTGGGGTATTTACACTCTTAAAATCTGGCAACCGCAACCATAAAAGCTTGTAGCTAAGAAGGCTTGTTACCAATGCACAATAACACATATGCCAAATTAAAATTAACGAATAAGAGCCAAATAAGAGCTTTCCCATCTTTATGCAAAGTTAAGGGCCGTAACCCATTCATCCTCAAGCTCCACTCCATTAGCACAGAGCGGAGCAGACCTAAGCTCCTCCAGGATGGCAACAGGTCTGATGGAAACCCATCTTACCGCTGACCTCCATCTGAATAGAGTCAGCCATGCTGTTAATAGACTTCCCCTCGAGTCGCGATTATTTAGGGGCTCGCGCGGTTCGATTCAGGCCGGGTTTTGCAGCGTACCCCTCCCAGCGGGTTCACGTCACTTCTCCTTCCAAGCGAATAACGGAAACAATTCCGAAAGAGAAATTAATTTTCTCAGATGGAATGCCAATCATGCCAAATGTGTGATGTTGGTTGCAGCCTCTGGGTCACAGTTTGGAACGTGTTATTTTGCCTCCCGGTAGAAGTGTTAATGCACTTATCAAAACGTTTGTTTTAGGTTCCCTCTCGCTGTGCAGAGGTGAAAGAAGCATGTTTTCCAGATAGGATGTGCTCTCCCAGAGGCTGGAAGATTAGCTGCTCTGTAAATAAGCTGAGGGGGAGGGGGAGGAAAACAGCAGATATGCAGAAATAAAATAAAAAAAGGTTGGACCCACCGAGCAGGTAGTGGGCAAATGTAAGACTTTATAAGCATTTCATTTACTGGTCTATAATTGATTTTGACGTGGAAGGAATTACGGTCAGGCCACTAACAGCTGTAAACATTCATCATGTTTGAACCCCGCTGGTAGTGAGGAGGCAGATCCATATGTGCAACTTGCATTAAACGCCTTTGACCCAATCGTATCACCCGCATGCAGCTGTTTCACCTTATGCAAGTGTCAGTGAAACTGAAACACCTGAATTATAGACAAATTGAGGACTGCTGGATTATACTGAATATTCATGATAATATTTGTAATGATTTTGCTGGCAATTTTCCATTTTGTATTCATTTTATACATTTATAGGATGTATCTGTGTGTAGTCTCTGAAATTTCATTGCATTCCGATGCAATGACAATAAAAGCTTGAAATTGAAATTTAGCGACATTTGGGTTACGAGTTATGACATATTGATTAAAAATGACAAGATCAAAAAAAGTATTAAACATTCACAGTAAGTCATTCAATAACATGTAGAAAATAGACTTTCATTTTATATCGACTTTAAAATAGATGTTAAGAGCGCGCAACAGTCGGGTTACGGAAGTAAAATGGCATTCATTTTCTCTTTAGGGAAATTGATTTTAACAATAATTGTTCAGTTTTTATTTGATTTAACAATAACTGTTCTGAGTTCTGAGGTTGTTAATTAATGGTATATGCTTGTTGAAGCTATCAGTTCGCATTATTTCAACTTATGTTTTAAATAATTGTGTTTAACAGCGGAATCTCTGGTGAAAATCTATATTATGATGCTCTACAGAAAATTCCACCAATCGGAGAGTTGCAACGAGCAAATTGTGCCAAATGAGTGCTACTGTTATATTGTAGTGTATTGTTGAAATGAAATTTTAAAATCTTCCTTGTGTTCATTAAGTGAATAAAAGTGTAATAAAAAAAGTCCTCAATTATGTTAAACTAGATTTTTACAATATTTTTAATGCATTTACAAGCATTTAAAGAATACATTTAGAGAAAGAACAATCCATTTAAAAATAAGAAAATATCATTATACACAAAAAAAAAATCATCAAATGACTGAAAAACATTGAGATATATACAGTGGCGTAACTTTGCTTTGAAAAGTGGTGGGGACACCGCGCAACTCGTTTTGCTAGTTTTTTATTTAATAACCTAATTTACTTGGGGACTGGGTTTAGAGTTGAACAAACTTAATTTTTGCTTTTCAAAAATAGATCGATGTACCAGGGGCAGTGCCAGAATATTTTGAACGCAGGTGCTGAGGGGGTGCTAGATCAGACAGAGGGAGCTGGGCAATTCAGGGCTCCAGACTCATTCTTCCCACTGGTCGCTCTTTTGCGATTAACTTTCTCAGTTGGCTGCACGAGCACGTTTTTTTTTTTTTTTGCGCTACAACATGCTGTTAATGACTGATGACTGCACGCTGATGAACTTTTATCGTAGTTTATAGTTATATGGAAACGAAAGTAGTTAACATTCAACCCGTTCTTTTTCATCAGTAGTATTATTTGTGATTTGAATTTTGTGAACGGGAGTTCGCAAAAAGTGGTGGGGACATGTCCCACCCGTAAATTACGCCTATGGATATATAACACATCAAATATTCTGGCTATATTGCCCAGCCCCAGTATATAGCAAATTCTTCACTATGTCAGATTTATAGAAGCATAGCTTTGTTAAAGGGATAGTCCAAAAATGATAATTACCTAGGGGTGTAATGATTCACTCGTTTTCTCGATGCATCAATTACAAACCCTTACGATGCATATGCATCGATCTTGAAACATGGATTTTGAATCGTGAATCGTCGATTTCGGACAGTAATCGATTTAAAATGCTAAGAATCGAATTAATCGCAATTTCTATAGCGATTCAATGCTTTCAAAATACATACAAATTAAATTACTACAAGCAGGAATTAATTGAGACCTTGAACAGTGTTCGTGCCTCGCATCTCTCCTTCACGCGCTCCACTATTTACCGCCTGTGACTGTCACAGGATTGCGCTCGCGCTCCGTTCGTCTCACTGACACATTTTTTGAGCAGCTGACGAGTGATCGATCTCTCCTTAGTGCGACATTACCTGAGCTGTCAGGTAATGATGCATGAAAGTAGCGTTCGTTGCTATAGCAAACAGACATCACGTTTTCTTTCAGGATCATCATTCGCCGGTGGAGAGGAAAAGTTAAATACATTATTTTATGAAAATGAGATAAAGAAGATAAAGAATGAAAGAGAAGTGATGCCAGGCTAGATCTGCAGCTAAACTGAATAAAAAGCAGAATGAACAGAATGAACTGAACAATAAACACAATAAATAAATACAATTTATGAATGATGCAGTGCTAATTGACATAATTTATTACAGTACAGTAAGTATAAAGTATATTTTCTACCTTATTATGTGCAGAAAATTTTAAAAATTGTTTGTAGTATATAAAACAATCATAAAATTGCCATTAGGAAAAAAATATAGATTACAAATGATTGATTATTGTCCAGCAGTGTATTTGATTTCTTATAGCAAATTCAAAGTAAGAGATAAGAAAATAATTCCTTGTAAAAAAAATAAAATAAAATAATAATAATAATACATACATACATAAAATTATTGTATTTGACATTTCTATCACTTCTGAAATTATGGCTGCCCTGGCGTGACAAAATGTTATACATAATACTTTTAAAGCTTTTTTTTTTTAAATCTGG